TGACCTCAAAATCGTGATATCACCAGCCAAGCTCCGGCAGGAGGACCGCTACAAGACCGCGTTTAAAACGCGATATGGGCATTTCGAATGGCTGGTTATGCCTTTTGGCCTTACAAATGTCGCGGCCACATTTCAAGTGGCTATGACAACGGAGTTCCGACACATGCTGGATAGATTCGTACTCATCTACCTCGACGATATCTTGGTGTACAACCGGAGTTTGGATGAGCATGTGGAGCACGACAAGCCAAGTACAAAGCCAACCGCAACAAATGCGAATTCGCGCGGCAAGAGCTCGAGTACTTGGGCCATTTTGTGACGCCGCAAGGCATCCGTCCGCTTGCGGACAAGATGGAGGTCATCCGCATATGGTCCGAGCCCACCAACACCACAGATGTTCGCTCATTCATGGACCATCAACACCACAGATGTTCGCTCATTCATGGGGTTGGCTGGCTACTATCAACGCTTCATCACCGAATACTGAAGGATTGCCGCACCATTAACGAGGCTACAATCGCTAAAGGTGCCATTCGTATTCGACGACAACGCGCACCGGTCCTTCCAAGCACTCAAGACGGCCATGCTCATGGCACCCGTCCTTAGCAACTACGACCCCACCTTGCCAACGAGAGTGACGACTGACGCTTCCGACTATGGCATTGGGGTAGTCTTGGAACAACACGACGGCGACGACTGACACCCCGTGGAGTACTTCCGCCACAGGGTGCCTCCCATCAACTCACTTGATGATGCAAGGAAGAAGGAGCTACTCGCGTTTGTGATGGCTCTCAAGAGTTGGTGGCACTTCCTCCTTGGGCATCGTAGGTTCACATGGGTCAAGGATAACAACCTGTTGACCCACTACAAGATGCAGGATACGGTGAGCAGCACTATTGGACAATGGATGTACTTCATCGACCAATTTGACTTCACACCGAAACATCTCGCCGGCCTCTCCAGTCGCGCAGCAGATGCACTCTCGCGAAGACCCGATCTTTGCGCTATGACACATCATGCCTTCGCATTCGACGAGGAACTCCAGCGGCATTTCATTCGGGGCTATAAGTCGGATCCGAATTTTGCCACGCTATATGCGCAGTTATCTTCGGATCACCCGTCAGCCAGCCATTATCGCATCGTTGACGGGTACTTGCTTCTCCACTCGTGAGGCAAGGACTTATTGTGTGTCCCACGAGACCGTCGTCTTCGGACTCGCCTTCTTGGCGAGTACCACGGCTCACAACTCGCCGGCCATTTCAGAGTCAATCGGACTATCGCACAACTTCGGCTACGATTCCGGTGGCCCGACCTCATCACCGATGTCACTCGGTATTGCGACTCTTGCGAAGTTTGCTGACGAAGTAAGCCCCGCAACCGCAATCACTACGGCGAGTTGCGCCCGATGCCTATCCCACGGGAACCCTGCCTCTCCATTGCCATGGACGTCACCGGTCTGTTTCCCCGCGACCACCTCGGGCACGACGGCATCCTCACCGCCGTAGGCCAATTGAGTAAATACGCGTGATTTCTCCCTTGCAAATACTACGCCACGGCTCCCAAACTTGCGCGCCTCTTGCACACCGGCTGGATTTGCAGCCACGGCGTATCGGAAGACATCGTCATCGACCACAACATTTGTTTCATGTCCACATCCTAGACTTCTCTCGTGCAGGAATTCGGGACCAAGATGAAACCAAGTTCAGCTCGACATCCACAAACGGACGGGCAAACGGAGCGGGCACATCAAACCGCTCAAATGATGCTTCGTACGCTCATCCGTCCGGATCAGAAGGATTGGGTTGACCACCTCCCCGACCTCGAGTTCGCGTACAACACTTCGTTGCATCCGGCGATCGGCATGACTCCATTCAAGTTGCACCACGGTGGTGGTAAAGGCCGTATCTTCGCTGATCTTCTTCTTCCACGACCAGCCGACATAGACGCAGCTTGCTCTCCCGCCTCCGTTCGGAAGTACAGGGAATTGCTGGCTCAAGCCCGTGCGAACATGCGAAAGGCTCAAGTCCGCATGCAGTAGCAAGCCAACAGGCGTCGCGTGCCATGTCCCATCCGCGCCAGTGATCTGGTTTGGGTCTACACGGAAGAATTTACACTCGAACAGGATGTTTCGCGCAAACTACTCCCCAAGTGGTTTGGACCATGGCCTGTAACATCAGCCGCTGGCGATGAGCCCGATGGCCGCTCATTTGTGATCAACAGCCCCCCGCATCTGACGGTCCATCCAGTCTTTCATGCCTCGAAGCTGGCGACATACACACCAGCTAAGAGCAACGACTTCCCGGGCCGACGATCGCAAGACCCTCCATCTATGGATGGTCATCAGGAAGTCGACCGCGTCATCACGGATCGCAAGTACAGCAGCAAGCCTCAACAGTACAAAGTTACATTCAAAGCATGCGATCCCGGCGACACTCGATGGATTTCAGAAGCAGATTTGAAAGCATCCTCACCGCTGATCAACGCTCATTACGAACGACAAAGGCTAGCTAAGGAAGTTTCACGACCTGCCCCTCCAACCCGGACTTTGGTCCCTCCCTCAGACAGGCAGCTTCGCCCTCGCAGGTAAGCTCGATCTTTCAAGGAGGGGGGGGTGTGGCATACTGCGCAGCCACACAGGCCCGACCAGACGGAAAATAAGGGCCCGACAGGCCCTGTGTCGTTTCAGCCTAAAAGCCTGAAAACGAGGGCCATTTTCAGGCCCTCATAAAGTCGACCCGCCCTTAAACTCAGGTGCCAGACCAGGGTTTAGCACAGGTCATTTTTGGGCCCGTTTCAGGACAACCTTTGTTTGAACTTCAACGCCAGGGTCTGGCACATTTCGGCATTGGCAAGAGCAGCCTCCTGGACGGGCCAGCACTATATAGAACTAGCCTGCCCTGCAGGCTGCAGGTAGTTCATACGTACTTCCCAGGCAGTTCACGGGCACTTCACGTGCAATCAGGAGGCAGGAGGCAGTCTTCAGGATTTCGGCTGCAGCACTCTGGTGGAGCGCTGCAGTAGTAGTAGCTAGCGCTAGAGTATTATTCAGCACTGGGTGCTAGTAGGAGCTTAGAGTAGCGTTGGGAGAGAGAGAGAAGGGCGGAGGCCAGGGAGACTTACCTGTGGCGCCATAGCTCCAGCTTCGTCTTCGATGTACCTGCAACAAGGTGCCACCTTCACAGGTTAGTACCGGACTACAAGAGAGAGAGAGAGAGAGAGAGAGAGAGAGAGAGAGAGAGAGAGAGAGAGAGAGAGAGAGAGAGAAAGAGAGAGAGTTCTTCTTCCTCTTCTAAGTCCACCATCTCTCCCTAACCCTCTTGCTACCTAACTTCTCAGTATCTGCAGACTACGAGAGAGAGAGAGATTGGTGACTTTGGGACTTGACGACATTTGGATTCAGACTCGGCATTGGGATTAAGACATTGGACGAGGGATTATTTGGGACCTGTACTGAAGACTTGGTGTTGACGACATTCCCATCTTCCCCCCTTCTTCGTTTAGTCCCCCTCCTCTTCGTCCGTGTATGTTTGGACTGGCGCATTCAGGTCCCTTCACACCATGTGACGATGATGATGTATGTTTGGTCTGCATTGCGACATTGATTGGTCGGATCATTGGTATATAAGCCTTCCGCCGTGCTATCTCGTACTATGTGAGAGAGGTCGGTTCTTGTTCTGGTCTGCACCTTTACGGTATGCGACATTGACACTATAAATGGAGTGCCTGTTGAAGCAGCAGTGTTTGTTGTGATGGATAGAAGCATGGACTGTGTGTGACTATGTAAGGGACGCTGGACCCTGTTCCAAGCAGATAATATATTTGAATGGATTTCATGCCGGCAAAAAAAAAGGAGTGAAGAAAAGTTGAAAAGTAGCAATAGCAGTGTTTGTAGTACCACATGCTGCTGTACTACAAACAGTTGCCGATGTGCTACAAACTGGGACTTGTAGCACTCTACATTTGCCTGTTGACTGAAAGGCTGAATGGCAAACCCTACAGAACACTGGTTAACAGACACAGGGTCCAGACACCATCCATGTMTGGACCAGGATCCACACCTGTACCAGGATGAATCCGGGTGTCACGATGTCTGGACACCATCCAGACTACCCAGACATGGTGTCTGGATCTTTCTGTATGTCCATGTTCCTCATGTGTGGATGCATCTGGAATCTATAGATGCCAAAATAGTACGAAATAGTAATGACTGAAATAGAATCCAAAAATTCCAATCCAACCTTATTCTTATTATTAATATAAATTAATAAAATTGAATTAATCAATAAATTTCTTGATTGTGTTTGATATTTATTTGTCTGATTCTTACATATAAGTGAAAAATCAAAATTTTTAACTCTCTTTGCTCTGGCCTTGTTTGGAGCCTCAATTCGAATTTTTTGATATACTTTTGCGCGCGTAGCATGCATTTTCATCAGTGCATCATGGCTCTCTGTTATCATGCTTCCACTGTCTGTGCCAGGCAGTCCTCCTCCTTCTCAGGCTACACTTTCGCACTGCAACTTGTGATTCTTGTTCGCTATGGCCAGATGTGCGAAGGCCATATGTGCAAAAGATACAGGTGCAAACGCACATGTGCAAATGAGACTGTGTAGAGGCAGGCAGGCATCCCCCTCCCCCCAAAACCAATGCTTCTGTTGGATATGGTCACATGCCTGCCACATGTTCTTCACCTGCAAACATCCATAGAGACCGCCATCTTCCCGGACATGGAATGCATGCTATTGCCTGGGCATTATGACAGCATATAGAGAGCCATTAAACATATCCACCAACTGCACATATGGTGGTCCTATGGATTCCACCACAAGTTTTTATTAAATTCAATAGATTGTGTGTGTTTTTTCCCCCCCCTTTTCATCGCTTGCACCACAGGGGATTACATAAATGTGTAGCGGGGTCTTTTTTCCGTTCGTCTGTTCTTTTGCCAGATCGTCTGCTGTATCTTCCATTAAGAAAGAATTTGCACCCTCTCATCATACCTGACACAGTGTGCTTCATCAATCACAAATCGGGAGAGCTTCCTCTGCAAAATAATTCCAAAGCGAATCACAGCATCTGGAAGTAGTCAGATTGAGACCTTAAAACAAACCCCCCAGAAAAAAAACACAAGTTGAATTATTTTGAATATAAGATTATTACGGTCTACCGCCAGGGCCAGCAGCCTAGCTCAGTTGGTAGAGCACAAAAGCTGCATTCAGTAGGTCCGCAGTTTGAGTCCCCACGTCTTCCATTCGAATCCCCACGGCCTCCTGCGGCTCGTTGTGGGTTCACCAGCTGAAATGGTCAGGTTGTGCACCTTGGTTGTTGGTAGTGGGGTATCTTCTGCCGTCCCTCCCATCCGTTGCTAGGGGTTAGGTTCAACCTTGAGGGGATAGGCTCAACCCATAACCCTTAGTGTAGCTCAGCCATTGGTAGTAGAGTTACTCCTTGCTGAACGCAGGTAGATAGGTGGATAGAGTGCTAGTAGAATGCTGCCATGCAATTTGATTATGATCCCGGGGACAGGATCGGTTCTTGTGGGTTGATTACGTGGACAGACAGCATGAGGTATGTGGTTAGCTAGTGCGTGTGGTGGGAAAAAGATGTCGAGAGAAGAAAAAATCATACTGAATGAAGCTGTCCCCCATATGAGGAGAAGACAGTAAAAAAAAAAAAAAAAAAAAAAACGAGGTCTACAGACAGAAATTGAAAAGAAAAGAGCAAGTCCTTCGGGACATCCGTTAAAATTGGAACGATACAGAGAAGATTAGCATGGCCCCTGCGCAAGGATGACACTCATAAATCGAGAAAAAGAAAAGAAAATAGCAAAACAAACCCAAACAAGACAAGATGAAAAAAACAAAATGGACACAGAAAGGAAGACACAGCTGCAGCAAACAGTTGGTGACATAAGACCCACTTTAACAGGAAAAAAAAGCACTAAGTCCAAGACAATAAAAACTACTGCAATGGTTGTCAATCCACACAGAGCTACGTTCTCTTCTCCTTGATAGACTGGATAGTCATTACTTCAATTAACAATCTGTTGCAATCATACTCATTGCATACCATGTATGTGCAAAGTCCTCGCATGTGGCATCCATGCTGCACCGCACATGTACGGCGTGGCTGTACAGGCCAGAGCAGTGGTGGTGGTGGGCGGAGGGGGGGGGAACGCAGTGGGGAAGGGAGGGGGGGAATGAAACTACCACCTGTGAAATCCCTTCACACAAAAAATGTTTTCAAAATTTCCAATCTCACAGGACAACAACACTCAGGTTGCATATAACCAGCCTAACACTTTCTGGACCAGGTCGTGCGTGTGTGCACTAGTCGGCTGAGAACATGTGCCGGTATCAATCACCAGCCCCTCTTACGCCCCTGTACCAACATTCATCCAGCTACTCTGTATCTGTGGTATGCACCACACGGGCCCCTTGGGCCCGTAGTAGGTTAGGGGGTTAGCCAGGGGTTAGGAGTTGTTAGTTCTCCCTTTCAAGCCTCAACTTAGCTAGAGACAGTCCCTTCCCTCTAGCTCGTATGTAGCCGACCGCATAGGAGGGCCGCTGCAGGCCCAGTGTCCGTCGGTTAGGCCAGGTACACTTGCCAGTTTACTCTGGCCACTTCTCGGTTGACTGGTCCCCAATTTCATACTGCCACTTGGGTGGCATGCCTCAGTTTTCAAGAATGGTGCCAGTCTACTTTGGGCGCCACTTTTTCAGTTTCACTTGGGCGCCATGTTTCAGTTTCAGTAAAGGCGCCAGTGCCTGCCTCCAGTTCGGAGGCTCACTTCAGCAGTGGGCCCAGCAGTATATATAGCTGGGCCATCCTCATTTGAGAGACAGACAGAGTTGGAGCCGGAGTTCTTCACGCTGCTGGGAAGCACTGCTCCAGACACACCCCGCTAGTGATAGCGTAGTTGACGCGCTGGGCGCAGTAGCACTCGACTTCAGCGCTGGGCTCTTCTCATGTTGACGACAACAGCTTCGAGCTTGGGCTGCAGTCCACTGCAGCAGGGTTTAGAGGAGTAGAGGACAAGGTGGAGGCCAGGAGACTTACCTGTCGGCTTACCTATGACACCAGAGCTTCAGCTTCGTATTCAGCACATCTGTGACTGCATCAAGGCACCACCTTTCTGCAGGCCAGTATCTGGTTAAATCTCTCACACACACACAGAGAGAGAGAGAGAGAGAGAGAGAGAGAGAGAGAGAGAGAGAGAGAGAGAGAGAGAGAGAGAGAGAGAGAGAGAGAG